TCCGGGGCAGTGTACTGCTGCGCCGGGGAAGTTTGCTGCTGCACCGGGGCGGTGTACTGCTGTTCCGGGGCAGTGTACTGCTGCGCCGGGGCGGTGTAGTGCTGCTCGGATGGAACATACTGCTGCTCCGGGGCAACATACTGCTGCTCCGGGGCAGTGTACTGCTGCTCCGAGGAAACATACTGCTGCTCCGAGGAAACATACTGCTGCTCCGAGGAAACATACTGCTGCTCCGAGGAAACATACTGCTGCTCCGGGGCAGTGTGCTGCTCCGAGGCAACATACTGCTCTGAGGCAACATACTGCTCCGAGGCAGCATACTGCTGCTCACCGATGGAGTGCTGCCCAGACACACCCTGATCCTCCGGAGCATGGTGCTGCTCCACCTGGCCCCCGACCGGGAAGTCGGCCTGCGGCGGGAAGAGCTGTCCCCCGCCGACGGACGATCCGGTGGTCGGGAAATAGTGGGCAAAGTCGCCGGCCGGCGAAGGGGCCAATGTCAGCTCGCCGGACTTCAGCTGGTTGAGGGAGTCCTCGCGCGACACCGCAGCCTCCCCCTGGGAAAAGGGGTCGAAGGGGGCCGCCCCGGCAGCCGGAACGTCGCCGGCGGGGGCCACCGCGGCCGGCGGCTGGCCGGCAAAGTCGAAGCCCCCGGCCGAGGCAGCAACCCCGGCGAAGAGATCGGCCGCGGAGTCCGGGCCCGGGGCCAGCTGCCCGGAGGCCGAGGAGGCGGCCACCAGGTCATCTGCCGGGTGGGCGGCCAGGAGCCAGGAGGACGAGGACGAGGCAGAGTCCGAGACGGCCAGAGACGGCAGCGGCGGGGCAGACCCGGCGGAGTTAGACGCGGGCGGGGACATGAGCAGGAAGGGGCTGGCGTCGCCGCTGGATGCCACTGCCGCCGGTGCTGCTGCCGCCGGCGCCGCCACTGGCGCCGCCATCGCATGGAGGTCCCCCTCGCCGCCCGGGAGAGTGACCTCGCTCGGGGTCTCGACCGTGGCCGCCGACCAGGTCGGGTGGGAGACGAAGGAGAAGGAACTCTGCGAGCGGGTCACATCCGGCGAGAGGGCCGACCAGTCGGACGAGACCCCGGGCCCGCCGGCCGCCACCGAGGGGGCAGGCTCTGCGAGCGGGTGGATGGGCGGGCGAGTGGGCGGGCGGGCGGGCGGGCGGGGGGGCGGGCGAGCGAGCGAGCGAGCGGGCTTGGCGTCAGGGCCGCCGATCGGTGTGCGGAACGGGCGGTGGCAGGGCGCGACATGGTGCTGGATGTCGCAGGCGACGCGCGCGAGAGAAAAAAAGCGGGGGGGGGGACGCACCGGCGTGGGAGGGCGGGACAAGCGACGGGTCGAACGGCGTGTGGGCGGGCTCCGCGACCTCCGGGGAGGCCGCGGCGTGGGGCTCCTCGTCGGCGGACATGCCGCGGGCCAGGGACTCGTAGAAGCCGGATGCCGCGGCCAGGGTGACATAGAGGTCCGACTGGTCGGCGGTGGCGGCCGGGGCATCGCCGGCTGGCACATCATCGGCCGCGGGGGCGACGGCCGGGTCGAGGGCAGGGGCGGCCGCGGCCGGGCCGGCAGGCTCCTCCGGGTCCGGGCCGGCCCCGGCCGAGGGCGGGACCTCATCACCGGCCAGGCCGAACACCGGCAGCCCGCGCAGCAGGGCATCCGTCGATTGGGAAGTCGACGGGCCGGCGTCCGGATGGTGGGCCAGGGCCGAGTCCTCCGGGGCCGAGTCCTCCGGGGCAGGGGTCGCCGGATCGCCGAAGGAGAAGGTGTGCCCGGGGAAGAGGCTGGCCGAGCTGGAGGCAGCTGGCGGCTGGTCGAGGGGGTCGGCGTCCGGCACGCCGGCCGCCGCGACGAGCGTATTGGCCGCGGCGGCCGCGCCGCTCAGCGTCCGGCTGGCCAGCGACGAGACAGCCGACGAGACGAAGCGCAGGGAGGACATGCCGAGCGCGGCGCCCGGCTCGTCGGACATGTCCGGCTGGGTGGCGCCCTCGGTGGCCAGGGCCGTGGAGGGCGGCCCCCCCGCCGGGGGGGAGGCCTCGTCGCCGAGCCCGGGCGCGCACTCCGACGAGGAGGCCGAGGCCGAGGAGGGGTCCGAGAAGGACTCCACCGGGTATGAGGAGTGGGCATCATCCTCGAGGGACAGCTCGACCAGGGCATCCGGCGAGGAGAGAGACAGGTCGTACCCGCTGTCGGAGGAGTGCATCAGGGCAATGTCATCGGGCAGCGACCCGTCCGAGGCCCCGGTGGCGGGCATCATCTCAAAGGGCGAGAGGGCGGCGGCCGGCTGCTCATCGGACGAGGTGAGGGGAGCACCGGGCGCCGGCTCGGCGGCATGGTGCAGGCCGCCGAAGGGGTGCCCCGGGGCGGGGAGGGGCTCGGTGGCGGAAGAGGAGCCGAGCTCGACAAATGGCTCGGAAGGGGAGCCGGAGACGACATCCCCGGTGGGCCCGGCGTGCGGGGCGGCCTCGGCAGCCGGCTTGATGGGGGCGCTCTCGAGGGGAGCAGCGTCGGCGGGCTCGGGGAGTGGCGCGGGAGTGGAGTCGTGGACAGCCTGGGAAACAGCCGGGGGGAGGGCCTCAAGGGCGGCCTCGGGAGCGGCCTCGGGAACGAACTGGGCAGCGGCCTCGGGAATGAACTGGGCAGCGGCCTCGGGAACGAACTGGGCAGCGGCCTCGGGAACGAGCTGAGGAGCGGCCTCGAGAGTGGGCTCGGAAGCAGCCTCGGGGACAGCCGCAGGAACAACCTCAGTAACGAACTGAGGAGCAGCCTCAGGAACAAACTGAGGAACAGTCTCAGGAACAAACTGAGGAGCGGTCTCAGTGACGAACTGAGGAGCGGACTCAGGAGCAGCCTCAGCAACAGACTCAGCAACAGACTCAGCAACAGACTCAGCAACAGACTCAGCAACAGACTCAAGAACAGCCGCAGCAACAGCCTCAGGAACAGCCTCAGCAGCAGCCTCAGCAACAGACTCGGGAAGAGACTGGAGAGCTGGCTGTGGGACAGGGGCCGCGGCTGCCTGAGCCGAGAACCAGTCCGACGCCGGGGCCGCGAACAGGTCGCTGGCTGAGGAGGCAGCCGTCGCGGCCCCGGTGAAGGCGTCGGCCGCGGATGCCGGGGCAGAGCCAAAAGGAGTGGCACCGGCAGCAAAGACGTCGCCGGCGGCGGCAGGCCCGGGTGCCGGGGCGGCGAACGGATCGGCAGACGCCGCTGGAGCACCGGCCGAGCCGCTCGAGGCCGGGCCGGCTGCCGGGGCGCCAAACGGATCGCCGGGCGGCCCGCCGGCGGGCTGTATGAAGTCGAAGCCGGCGTCCACAACGCCAAAGAGGCTGGCCGCCGAGACGGCGGCCGTCGGGTCCGCGGCCGGCGCCGGGGCCTCCTGGCCGGCGGCCGGCTGCTGCGCCGCCAGGTCCGGCGAGGAGGCGCTCGGCGACCCGGCCGCCAGGGGGGACTCCTCGGCATAGCCATAGTAAGAGTACCAGGTGGGGTGGATGCGATAGGCGCCGAAGGAGCCGGAGTCACTGACGGCCGCCGGGTCCCAGTAGTAGCCAATGGACCCGAAGTAGGCGTCGTGCTCCACCGTGCGCGGCTGGTCCGCCGGCAGGGACACCACCAGGGGGGCGAGGGCCGGCGAGGCGGATTGCATGGCTATTTCCGGCACGCGCGCGCGGGTGGCTGGGGAGGAGGGGGAAGGAGGGGGAAGGAGGGGGAAGGAGGGGAGGGGGGAGTTGGCCCAATTCACGGGGGAGGGGAGGGGTGGGGGGGGGGGGAGAAGAAAGGGCCAGTGTGTGTGAATCGATAGCCGCGCGCAAACAACGCCCGGTCTTGATTGGGGCAGGGCCGGGGCCCGCTCCCACAGAGAGGTTCTCCCCAGCCCAGCAGAGAATCGGGGCGGCGGAGGAAAAGAAAACACCCCACTTCGGATCAGCCGTCTACGCGGTCCCGTCTGCCCCAACGCGCGGAAGGGGGCGCGGGACCTTAACCATTCTCGCCCGCCGAACTGGGCCCCCCCCCCCTGACGACTAACACCCTTGGGGGGGGGGCATGGACCCGCACACGGACCGGTCCCGGGCTTTTGCCGTGCCATTCTCCCGGAGGGGGCGGCGCCTGGCCGGAGGGGGAGCAGGCACCCGGCGGTCGTCGGCCTGGCGAGTGGCCTCCCGGGCGTCAGCGAGCGGTCCGGGCCTCAGACCGGCCGCCCGGGCGCCGGAGGCCGGTGAACATTGGGAGTTGAAGCGAGCCAGGAGGCCAGTATTGGGAGGAATATCTTTAGTCGTACTTTGTGTGGCGGACGCCGCCCTAGCTCGGGCCCGCTGACTCTCGGAATGTGACAGCGCCCGGACACCGGGCGGAGGGCCGTGCGGGAAGGCCTTTCGCGCTTGCAGCCGCCTGCCCTCTGTGTCGTCGTCCGCAGCGGCGGCGGCGGCGGGGGGAGGGGCGGGGCGAGATGCGGCCTGCCCATCGCGCCGGCTGAGACGGTGCTGCCACCGGAAGGGCCACCGCCAACGGTCTCCCGCGGGCGCCGTCAAAGACCGCCATGCCCTGCTGCGCGGCAGCGAAACTAAACGCCCCGGCTGATCCTCCCGGGTGCATGTGATACGCAGCGCATTTAGATGCGGCTCGAGGGCCGGACACGCCCCTGCCGGGTGCGGGGCAAGGGAGTTGCGCGGCCGGCGCCTGTGTGTGCGCGTGCGCGCGCGCGCGCGCGGGTCTCGGAGGCGGGGCCAGGCGCCGTCGCCCCGCGAGCGCGCCCCCCCATGCGGCCTCCTGTGTTGTGGTTCCCCGGCACTGGGGGGGGGGGCGGGGGCAGAGACCGCCCTCGATTCGCTGGCCGGTCAAACGCGCACGACCGCCGCCCGGCCTCGTGCGGGGGCGAGCGCCGCGCGTCGGGCCGACAAGCAGAGATGCTCGGACTCCCAGCCGGGGGGGACAGGCGGCCTGCCCGCTGGGCGAGCGCGGCGTTGAACAGCGTTGGACGTCGGCGGGCGCGCGGCCCGATCGTGGGCAGGTGCCCTCGCGCGCTGTGCCGCCCGCGGCCCCCTGGCCGCCGTTGTTCCCCCGGCCGGCCGGGGGGGGGGGGCGCGAGGGCCGGTCTGTCCCTGGCGGGGTGCGCGGGGGACAACCCGCGCGCGCGCGCGCGCGCGCGGCTGTGGGTGCACATGGGTGCGCCCGTATTCAGCCGCCCCCGGGGGAGGGCGACTTTTTCTCGCCCGCCTTCCCCGGCCCGGGGGCGGTGTGTGGCGTCCTGTTGTTGTTGTTGTTGTTTGTGCCCGGAGTCCAGGGGGGCGGGGCGGCCGGGGCGGGGTCTGCGGCCCGGGGCCTGTCCCCCCGGCGGGCAGAGTTTCCATTGCATGCGCGGCGCGGGGCGCACACACCCGTGCTTATTCCCCC